AGCCTTGCAAAACATTGATGCTGAATTTCGTATGTCAACGTTGGCCCAACTTTGTAACAAACTTTGGCCCACACAAGTTTCGAGTTGGCCGTGTTACTTCAAATAATTAATATGAAAACTGTTACGTACGTTGCCCCGTTTAATTGTTAATCTGAATGTCTGATACGTACACGAGTAAAGCTTGGGTCATCCACTGTTTAAAATATAATGCTTACTTTCGTAAATAAAAAATAAGGTTGAAAATTAATTAAGTATTTCGAATTTAACCTAAATAAAAACACAGCAAATTTATTTCGAAATGTTTTTGCGTTTCGCACTTCTGTTTGTGGCATATTTTTCATTGTTAATCGTTTGAATTATCTGAGAATTATAAAGTTAATTGGATTTTTAATGTTTTTATTTTATGATTAAAAACAAGCATGTACAAAACCAGAGTGGCGTAAAAGTTATGGTTAATTAAAGGAATTGTAGGCGTGAATGTGTCAAGTAACCATCTAAGTTTTATATAAATCTTTTTCTTGTACAATTAACTACATATTATAGCAGCAAAGACCTCTTACTACGAGTTGTTACGAGCATAAATCAACACGCTTGCTCCACGCGGATTGGCGATTTCAAACTTATAATTAGAAATGAAGATTAGGTTTCTTGGCGATGTTTTTCTTTGTTTCTAAACAGACTAAGGAGAGATATAAGTTAGAAAAAGTCACATGGTACTTGCAAGGTTTCAAACCTGAGGGTTTCCTTGGTGATTTCTTTGGGAAGGGAACCATTCCCGGGTCATCTTGTTTTTCTTACTGAATGCCAAGGGTGTCTAAATAACTTTACATATTACATATAACTCTGAAAAATACAAAAAAGGAAACTGTATAAAACAACCACAGTTTAGCCGGTATAAAACAGAAGACAAATGACGTGACTAAGCACCATCAGCCGCAGAACACATTCAGTGTCTTAGAACAAATTTTATCTCGTCACTAAAGCTGTTATCTAAGTCATTACTGGCCTAAATGCTTAGAATTAATGGAGTGAAGACAGATTGTAAAACTAGATATGGTCTAAGACCAGAGATAGTGGGCTATAGTGTTTTATGAACGACGTTTCGAAGACAAATTAATGTAATTTTGAACCAGTCCCAGAAATATTATGGTTTTTATGGAGCAAAATTTCGATAAACATTGGAAATTTCCATAATTTTGATTCAAACTGACGATTTAAGAGAATTTGTTTACCTATCCTAGATTTTTTTTTATTAATATAATTTTCGATTTAGATTCGGTCTAAATTTGTATCAAAAAGTCGAAATGTCAGCATCTTGACTTCATTATTCATTCATCATCATCATCATTGGGGAGGCCTATGTCCAGCAGTGGACGACAACAGGCTGATGATGATGATAATGATATCTATATATATAAAATAAAGTCGTGTTATTTACTCCACTTATAACTCAAGAACGGCTGATCCGATTTAGCTGAAAATTGGCAGGGAGGTAGTTTAGAGCCAGGAAAAGGACATAAGATAGGATAGAGTAGGGTAGGTAGGGTAGGTGGAGTAGGGTAGGGTAGGTAGAGTAGGGTAGATAGAGTAGGGTAGGGTAGATAGAGTAGGGTAGATAGAGTAGGGTAGGGTAGATAGAGTAGGGTAGGTAGAGTAGGGTAGGTAGAGAAGGGTAGGAGTTCAAAATACGGGAGCGACGCCGCGGGTAAGGGCTAGTTTTTTATATTTAGTGATGGTGCGACCTTCGATGTAGCACGCTTAGACTTAAGCAACTTTTTCGCTTGGGCCTTGAAGACACCTCGCTTATAGTTTCCGAGGAACACAGATTCTGGCAAATAATTTTACTCCTTATTAGTTTTGATAATAAAACTATAGGCGAACCGCTTCGTGCAGCTGGGTGGGATATCCACCATGAAGCGATGATATTTTTTGCCAATGGTGTGGTGGAAAGGTCTAAGGGAAATCAAGTCGCGTAGATCCCCAGAACATTCTCCGATATGTATCACGTGTTTTTACATTATTTAGAAGCATTATCAAAAAAATATTTAGGTAAATAAAATGATTTCGTTTGTATTACCATAAATTTAATACTTTTGACGTCAACGAACTACGACCTCGACAGAAATTATAAGAAAATAAAGGCATTTTATAAAAAAAATATTTCAACTAAATCTCTGTTAACCGAGATTGAACCCATTCTTATTCAAGTCAAGGTTCAAAATACTAAAACGTATCATAACTATTGCTTTCGCTCCGAGCAAAAGCGAGAAACATACATATTTATGACTTCAAGATATCAAAACTTCGAGAATATGATGAGAATTGATAATTCTGCACTGGCTCTTCAAATCTTTGCCAGCACGAATAACAAGGGAAATTATACCTACGATCATGTATATAATATAAAATTATCTAGCTTATGCCTTGAATTATTAAAGACGTTAATTTACAGTACAGACACTTAAAGAATCTGACGTTTCCCCCACACAGGGCGGGAGAAGTCATTTGGTTATGTCCCTCAACCGTATAAAAGCAAGGTCGCATTCTCTGTCCCTGTGTGCCCGTAGGTATGCTTAAATTTTTATAACTATGTCTTGGATTTTTATGCAGTCTTTTGACTAGATAGATTGATTTAAGAGTAAGGTTTATATGTTTAATAATACATTCATTAAACAGTGGAGAAATTTAATATCAGCATTATATGTGCGAATGCATTATATGATTATTTAGACACCACTGACATTCGGTGAAAGTAAATAATCGTGAGGAAACCTGGACTTATAATTTCTAATTATAAGTTTGAAATCGCTGACCCGCATTGAGCAAGCGTGGTGATTAATGCCCTAACCTTCGCCATGTGAGAAGAGGCCTATGCTCAGCAGTGGGCACTTATGGGCTGATGATGATGATGATGATTATATGAGCGAAGCTGGTGCGAGTCACTAGTATGTAAAAAATACAACCATCGATCTTTCTTTAAACAAATAAAACGATTTCATTCGTTCATATCGAAGTAGCTTAAAAGCACTTTAATATAAAATAACGAAACAACGCAAAAATTACTCAACAAAATAATATCCGAAAGTAAAAAAGAGAACTGTTTTATCGATAATTACCAACAAAACGAGAAAATAGCAGTTAACAGCACTCGTGATATCGACGTAACTGTCTGTCGCTTCATTACATTACACAGATGGCAACGAACAATATACTTTATTAATGACTTATCGTAAAAGTTTACGTGCAAAATCAAAATGGCTACCGCGTGGCGATTCGAATATCTTCTGTCTTTATTGCTGGATTTTATTTATTTTTTCCAAATGTTTCCTGCAGCTGACCTACCTACTAATGACAATTGAAATCGATCATCAGCTTCTGTATAGATTTTACGCATCAAAATCTTAAACGAAAGTAATGTAATTTAATCCAAAATTATTTTCATATACGAAGACTTCAAAATAGTCATGTCTTCTCGCTTGCTGAAATTAATGAATTAGTATCATTATAACGATATTCAAGACTTCAATTTAACAATCCATAATTTTCTATACCTATTTCGCATTTTCAAATAATCATCAAAAATGTGGGTAGAATTATAATTACTCTAAAAAGTATTTCTGTCGCCACGGTACACCTTAAAGAGAGCAGGATAGCATGATTCGGAAACTGCAGCTTACAACGCCGCCGCCGTCCTAGTACTTGGGAATAAGTCATTAATTTTTGCTCAACTTTGTGTTACTTTTACGACCTTATTTTACGTACCTGTGACCCTAAAACTCGAAGTAGATGTTTATGAAGCAAACCAAAATTAATGTTACGGGATATTGTTAAAGTAACTAACGGTTTTTCTATTGCAACATTAATTAAAAGTTTTGCCGCGAAATTCTTAATGAATTCCTTCTGTGTTTTATTGTAGCAGTTTGGGGTTGTGCAAGTTGAGAAGTTTAATTTGTAGCTTGTTACAAATTATCTGCAGATTGTTTTGATTATTTATTTGTTTTTGAGATTAGTTCATTTATTTGCATGGGTAGGAAAACTTTACCTATGGCGCAAATATACTTCATCTAGTATTTTTAAAATAGGTAAACATTGAAAATAAATTAACTCATTTTAATTATCTATTTAAATACATCATTTGCGTGTGGTGGTGGTGTGTGTAGAAGTCAATGTTTTTAGTGAATAAATTAAACAACTGCAGTTCCATAAATTGTTTCACCTTTGGGCAGCTTCATACATTCATACTAGTAGCATTTACCGCTGGACTATTTTATATTTTATATCAGTGTCGATAGTGTTGTGGTGGCTTGGAGGTAAGGCGCTCGAATCTCATGTATGAGGATGCGGGTTCGCAATTTGGCAAGCACCAATGTGACTTTTCCTAAGTCATATTTATTTTTGTGATTATTTTAGAGACCGCTGACATACGGTGAAGGAAAACATCGTGAGAAAACCTGGACTTATAATTTCTGATTACAAGTTTCAAATCGCCAATCTAAATCCTTGAGCAAGCTTAGTGATTAATGTACAAACCTTCGCCGTTAAAGGCCTTTGCTTAGCAGTGGGCACTTAGGCTGATGATGTGATGCGATTATCGTACTAACAAAATTTTCATTCCTCCTTTCGTATTTCAATTAATTAATTAATAACTCTTTCCAAGTTCCTCGAGATTTGGAAAATTACCATACCGTACCGTACTGTCCCGTACCATAGGGCCCATCCCTATGGTATGGTATGGCAAATCATTGAGTCTTTGGTAACTCCACTCACACCACCGTGGTTCTCGCCGGTATCGGGTCTGTCAGCAAAGCTTGTGCTTTTCGCTTTGCTACAATATGTTTTAATTTTATATAATTATATTTTATTGCACACATACATTAAGTAAGTAGCAATACAAATATTGGACACTACGAAAGAATGTTGTGATTACAATGGGAGGTCTAATTAACAAAAACTTACAAGGCGTACACATTCCACACTAATATTTAATGTTTTTGTTACAGTAACATTCTGGATTCTGGCTTTGGATCACGATTTGCGACTTGTTCGTGGAGAGCTCGCGTACGTTGCGCTGAGCGATCCAGCTGGAACGAAAGTTGCTATATGGGAGCAACTATCTATGGATGAAGGTAAGATTCCTTACAAATTTTTATGAAAACAATGTTTTTTAACTACAATTTTTAAACAGATTTGATGTTTATTGCCATTTATTTGACCTGTTAAGAGCTTACTACATTAATAACGGATATAATCACTTTACAAGTGTTCCAAAATATCCTAACATTTACTGATGCAAATAGGTTATTCATATGCGTTGGTTTCTCGTAATCTATAAAGAAAGAGCCAGACAGAAGTCACTTAAGTATGTGAAAGGGATAGACAGTTATCAAAAAAGAGATGAAAAATCTATCACTGATTTAAGAACTCATTTAGTTGATATACATGAGCATGAAATAATGAGCGATCTAAATTGATCCACTTTAAAAAAATAATGTATCTTCTTACTACATTAACAAACAAAAATAAATAAAACTAAAGTATAGAGAAAGAAAAAATCACAAAATCCGTAAGACCATCGTTTTAAAAAGTAACAAAATAATCATATGAAACAGTCTTTTTGTTAAATCTCCAAGGAGGTTACGTAAATAATACGGCCAGAGATGATCTCTTACCGTCCGCTAAAAGCCTTCTCTTGTAGCGACCTAAGGATTGAGTTTATCTACCGGTTGACAGATCTTATTTCCTTAGACAAAATACTTCAATGTTTAATGTTTAGTAAAAGGGATAGTTTGTAGAGCATTTTAATGATTCATGTTGTGGTTTCTTCGTTAGGGTTGGTTAGACTGATATGAATGGAAAAAACAAAATAGGATATGAGAAAACCTCCTCGGTTTTTAAATGATATGAACTTTTTTTGGCTGTCATAATTAGGGCTGATTTTTCAATGGTTAAATAATAGTTATCTGGGGAATAATAATGATATTGTCGCGTCAGAATGTTTGTATAAGACAGTGACAGCAACAATAATTTTATTCCTCAGATAATATTTATCCGACTATTGAAAATTCAGCCCTTAGTCGATTATTTTACAAGTTTTAGTCATGTCTGTTTTGCTCTATACAAATAAAGTAAATCTGCAAAAAGTTGTAATCTTATTGAAATATATTTATTAAATGCATCTAGATTTATATGAAGTTTATGGACACGCGTTCAAAAAACATTTTTGTGGTTGCAATCTTAAAGAGCGCGTGAATAACAAAACGAGGGGAATTAATTTTGAAAATATATTTTTACAAATAGGTTAGTTATAAATTATCTTTACTTAACCTGATCCAACAGACAAACTGTGTATACAGTTTTGTTGGACATTTTATACTTTTTATAATGTAAAATGTACCTCCTAATATAAATAAATAAATAAATAACCTAACTTATCGTGTAAAATCTTATAAAATTTACCAAATTATAATCAGCCCAAGTTATATCATAAGTAGAGATCAGCAAACTCCAAGTATTCTTGTCAATTGTGAAACTTAATTAAAGTCAGACGTTCATTAGCTACGGAACCCGCAAATGAGCTAGCTAAGTTCTTGTAATTATTTCACGTAAAATAGTTTGAGCGCCAAAGTAATATAATTAAAATAAGTATGAAATTGGGATACAATTTAATTATTTTTGTGTAATGAGATTTTAATTTTGACTATGTCACTTTCAAAAATTAATCTTTAATAATGTTATCAACATTCTTAAGGTTTTTCTGGGACAAGACAGTAGATGAGCAGACGGATCAGTCTATGGTAAGAAATCTACCTGAAACACAAGAGGGATCGCATGTGAGTTGATAGTCTTTGGGGGAAGGGGAGGGAGGCGGAGGTTAAGGAAGGATTTGAAGATAGGTTGATTTGGGAAATGTAGATGGCAAGGGTGACTAAGGCCGGCAACTTTCTTGCAAGTATTCTGTAGCCGTGGGTATCTATGAGTAACCCAGATTGCTTACCATCGGATAATCAGTCTGCTCAAAAAAGATTAGAAAGAGTAAAAAGATTAGAATTAAAATCCACACTTGAGGCATTTACATAAAAAAGTCCGTAAACAAAACACACTACGCTTGCACGGTATGTTACACACACAAAAAAAAACAATACCTACAGCTTTTTCAATTCATTGCAATTCACAAACTTTTCCATATTTTCCGCGCATCAGAATTTCGTATTATAATGGAGTATAGTATAAACCGAAAACAACGTCTAAATAAACAAGAGCCAGAGCGTAAAAGCGAAATTAATTCTACACAGTCATTTGCATCTCCATCAATAAAATTTTCACATGCAAAGCAATACGAATTGCACAGCAAAATTTTATGAACCAGTTTAAGTTGGACTCCGAAATGAGAGTTATTTTTCTCTTTATTGCAATGAAACTGAAGCCAAGGTCTATAGACCTGTTATACGCTGGTGTTTTCATAGAACAATACGTTTGTAATTGTGAAGTAAGTTTTGTTATTGTTTCTGCTTTTCGACTAGTTGGAAGTAGTGAGAAGCACTGTGACTGGCAACCAGTTCTGCTTCTGGTATCTGTTTTGTTATTTCTCATTATGCTATGAAAACAAATTTGAAATTCGAAGCTAAAGTTGATATCAACAGAATATTAATTTGAATCTTGATATATATTTAAAAAGAAAGAAGGAAAGAAAATTACGTTTATGCGACATCAGACATGAAGGCGAGGATCAAAAAATACCACATAAACATTTTATAAAGATAGATTAATAAAAAAAGAACAAAAATAACCAAAAAACAGTAAAATAATAACAGAAAACACAAATTGATTTATAATCTAACTAGGTTTTGCCCGTGACTCCGTACGTGTTGAATAGTAGCTTCCTGCAGGTTTTTGGTATAAAAATTATCCTATGTAATTTCTCAACTTCCAACCTATGTCACAGAAATCGGTTCAGTAGTTTAGGCGTGAAGAAAAGATAGATAGACAGACAGGCAGACATAGTAACTTTCGCATTTATAATATTACTTTGGATTATGTTAAAACGATAGCTATTTTGTGTGGTGTCAACATCAAAAAGAAAAATTTAAGTAAATAAAGTTATATTATATCAGCTAGACCGTTTAGTCATCATAAATTCAACATGGCCGTTGAAGTTAACAAGCGTGACGAAACCGACTCTCACTAGTGAAAGCCTTTCCATGTCATCTCCCATGCCAACCCCTGTCAAATTTTGATAGATTAGATTTCCCTCATAAACATGATTGACTTACAACTGACATATATTATTAACACGAACATATTTTGCTGTTATTTGAATTCAAAAGTTTGTGCTAATGGAAATATGATATGATATTCCCTGGAAATGGTATTAGAATCATAGAACCATGTTTGTTTCCTTTTTTTTATAATGAAATGCTAAAAATAAGACTAGAGCCGAGCTTACTTTGATTGTGAATGTTTATATCAATTCTTGGCTTTATTTTATACTACTAAAAGCCTTTGTGGTAATCAAGGGCATCACCTATCTGCATGCCAAATTTTAACCAAATCGGTCCAGCTGTTTTTGCGTGAAAGAATAAAAAACATAGGTACATCCATCATCATCATCATCAGCCTATAAGTGCCCACTGCTGAGTAAAGGCCTCTTCTCATACAGAGAAGGTTAGAGCATTAATCACCACGCTTGCTCAATGCGGGTTGGCGATATCAAACTTATAATTAGAAATTATAAAGTCCAGGTTTCCTCACGATGTTTACCTTCATCGTACGTATATACTTAATCAGTGGTATCTAAATAATCATAGAAAGTACATTTAACTTGGAAAAAGTCACGTTGGTACTTGCCAGGTTTCGAACCCACACCCTCATGCATTAGAAGCGGGCTCCTTAACCTCCTCGGACACCCCGACATACATCCATACATTCTCACAAAATTTTACATTTATAATATTAGTAGGATTATGTTGATATGGCTTCGTGTGAACTCAAAACTGTAGTAAATCGTTAAAAAGTATTCGATCCATGGAGAATTCGAATTAATCGAAGATTAATTATAATTTATTTCGTATTGTTGCCCATTAAATTTATCAATCATTAATGAACGATAGTCGAAATCAAATTTAACTTCTAATTAATGGTTATTTTCATCTGTTTTAGCAAATGATTCTATAACTTCCAAATCTCGTTTATCAATATTAATAGGTTTGTCGACGCTTTTACGTTTTCCAACGAAAACTTGCGTAATCCCTTCATTAGCTTCCATTTATTTTATATCATAATTTCATTTTCGAGTAGATCCTGTAATCAGTATACAATTTGTCTTTCGAAAATTGATCGTTCTCCGCCATTTTCAATGTTAGGGTAATATTTTTTCCAAAGATTTAAAATGTCAGTGTTTTCAATGGCTGCGATTTATCATAAGGCTACGGGGCTCGTCGATAAGACATGGAAATTCTTTTACCAAGAAAAGGGATCAGGTTTAGCTTTACCTGAATCGCATTCACTTCCCCATCCCTGCCCTAATGCGATAACACAAAAGCTTCTGTCGGCGTTATGGAGGTATTTTGGGAATGTGACATACCACTTTTAAAAGACGTGACATGGAATTCCATTTTAGGTATTTATGAGAAGCAGAAATGCAAGGATTAAGGTGTCAAAGAATAATTTAAACTATAGAAGTTACGTTGGAAAAGGAAAACTTATGATGGTCAGATTATAAGGCATAAAGGTTATGTAAGGCTAAAATAGTTCCAGCCGGGGTTTCAGATGCAAGCGCAATAATAATGTTCTGCGGCATCTGTCCAGACCAAGAGAAGGATCGGGGTAGTTTTTATTTAATAAAATTCGGCGGTGGTGAAGGACTCGATTTGCCCTCTATAATAAAAGAAGGAAAATTTTTGAATTTCTACAAACAAAGAACAAGTTTCGATGCTGTAACAACAGTTTTTCGGGGTTTTTAATACTGAAAAATATTTTTCAAGTACCGAATATTCCAACAAAGCACTCAGACATGAAGTTGTTACAAAATAGCTGACGTTACTTGTTTGGTGTTTCATGCATATAATTTATTCACTAGAGCCGCACCACGCACCGCTGCGTGGGTTTTGATTCTCTTCCCATCGGATGTTGGATTAAAATAAAGCTTTTGTTTGTTGTTGGTAATATAGACTTGTATTAAAGGAATATATACATATGCACTGAATGTTAAATACGTTTGATGTCAAGAAAGAATGAATTTGAGTAGTTTTCCCAATAAAATGATCTAGTACTACTACTAAACTGATAGCCAGGTTATCTGGAACAAGTATTAGCAAAACATTATAACTTCACACTGAATTAGAGCCCATGAGTCCCGCTGCACGTTTATCCACAAGCCGTCAGCTTCATTAGCAGAAATTACTTTTCTTATTAACTTCGAATTTTTTTTGCTGTTCTTGAGAAAATATAATATTTCCCATTGGGTTATGATCAAAAAGCAACATAATTTTGACCCCAAAAACCCAATATAGGGAGATGTCAAGAGAAGTTACTGCATAACCTTGTCAAGAGGACATGAGTCGGGTCTCACTCGAAATATAGTTTGATTAATTACATTCGCCGACCCTCTTAAAAGTCACAAGTTGTAACTAATGATAAAAACTTTGCTAGTGGACACGCTGCGCTTTGGAGGACTCTAATGTTTTTGTATGCCGTCTGCGTCCTTCGGTTCAGTTTTATTTTTTGCTTTAACTTCTAGAAAGTTCCTTGATTATTCTTTAAAGGGCTTTTCGTTAAAGATTTTTTCTTCTTTTTTGGATTTGGCAATGAGACTGGCCCACATTTGACGAAAAACCTGATTATTGTTGTTATTGATTTGGATATTAATCATATTTGAACACACTGTGTTTTAATAGTGATTTGACTATGAAACTCACTTTGAGACTATGGCTTCGAAAAGTAAATTACGATCATACTTTGATCTGATGCCATTTGAATACCTTTAACATGTAATAAATACCAATATGTTCAACCGTATTACGTTCTAAGTACGACTACATCACGTAAGCTACAACTGTTTGTTCATTTTTTTAACAGTATCTGCTGTTGTTTTTTTTTTTATTTGTCAAAGGGATTATTTTACTTTCATCGCGTTGAGCGATCGGCGATCGAATGTCAGTCATGTTTGACTGATACTCGGTATTGGCTCCTTGCGTCACCTTTGGGTTCAGTACATAGGAAACTATATTCTACGTGCTCCAAATATTTATCAGGGATAAAAGGATCGGTTACGTTTTGTTCTCATACAAAATTAATCACTTCATTTACTGCATGCGAATTTAGAAGGATATATCTGACTCGTCGATCTTTTTCTTTTGTCGGGATGATTAAGCTCAATTTTTCATATATCACTAATAACTGATTCTTTTACCATGACCAAAAAAGAGAAAATTAAACACTCTCTTATTAATAGGTAGCGTCTTTTTTATGTGATAGGCTAGCAAACGAACAGACGGATTACCCGATGGTAAGCAATAATTGCCGGTCTTTTGGGTATTAGGTTTTCGGAAATTTTGAGATTGGGGAGAGATGGGGGGGGGGGGGGAATAGGAAAGATACTCCGGTAACCTTAGTCATACACTCATACGGCAAAACTACGGTTGTCTCAAGGTTTGAACGATATTGATCTATGTTTACTTTTTTGTCCCCAGGGGTTCGCAAACTAAGTGCGATTCTAGCAACTGGTGCTCGATCTGGTACCTGGCGTATTGAAGCTCGCTGTGGAGGAGGCTCAGCCCGAGTGGACATCACTGTTGGAAATGGAGTGGGCAACGCAGCCCCCGCAGCTCCAGCAGCTGAGCAGCATTATGTGGAACTGAGATTCGCTGACAGTATGAGAAGACGATATAAGCCTGGACTTCCATTTGTTGGAAGGGTGAGTTCAGATTTTTATATGTCTTTATACTGATGACTGGTGTTAATTTATTGCAAGCGTAGTGGTAGTCAATATGACATCAGTGCGCACGCGTATCGTAATCTTCATTACCGGTCTGAATTCGTCCAATGCTGGACATAGGCCCAATTGCACGCCACTAAGCTTGATGTTCAGCTCTTCTCATTAAATCACTGCCAGCCACCCTGTGGATATCTTCAGTCCACCTAGCTGGAGGGCGACCGACCTACGTTTTCCTAGACCACCATTCTAGAATACATCTATACAAACGGTCATCGGTTCTTTGAAAAATGTGACCTGCCATTTCAGTTTCCTAATCCTTTGGGCTATATTATGAAAACAAATTCTAATTTTGTGAATATCTTTATTACCACCTTTATTACGTGTTGGACGAAATAAGTGTAATTTTGTATGACATATACGCACACATGTGATACGACCACCAATAGATCACTACAAACCCCTAAATAAAAAGAAAAGCAATAGTTTCTCCTAACAATATGACCACAATATTGTCTCCAGCTTCTAGGCTAGCGATAATTCTTAATATTTTTCATTGCGCCATTTCGTTCAAGTTGTATAACCAGAAATGGGTGAATTGCTCGTTAGCTCATTCCGTTGGAACTTTTGATAGCTTCCTTTATCTAAGGCTCTAGACAATAGGGAGGTTGATGTTAGTATAGACCTGTCTTTCATCTACTTATGTTTGGAATTGTGTGTGAATTGAATGAGTTTTGGCTGTTATGTGCACTGTTGCTAATGGATGAGGAATTTTGTAGCATTTCATAATTATACGTATTATAGGCTAAAACATAGGTAGATAATTAATAGTAGCATGATTTAATTTACGATATGAATAGTTAAAACAATATGTTATTCAGTTTTGATTATGCTCCACTTATGACTAATGATGTCTGAAAGGGTATAGGTGAGAGAGTGAGATATTCTAATTAAAATTAATTAGAAGTGTATAAAAATGGCACTTAGGGTTTGGTCTTACATGGGATTTTTTTTCTGATTTTATTCTGAGTATCTTTCTAAAACTCTTTCTGTAGTAGTTAACTTTCTTAGATTATGTAAAATGTAAAAATTGGACTTATATTTTTGTGTTACAAAATTTAAATTAGCAATCCACCTTGAATGACGATAGTGGCACTAAAAGACTAGTGATGAAAGCTGGACTTCTCAACGGATTTTTAAATAAAATTTAAAAGATATTCTACAAACATTTAGAACCATAAACATCCTCCATCACTATAAATATCAAAACCTCCTTTACACTAAACTACCTACATAGAACCATAATATTGAACTCACTTTGTCCACAAAGGAGTTCGCCAGCCATGATGTTGTAATTTCCACCCTATACGATACACTACAACCATTTACTCTTTATAACTTCGTCATTTGATGTCTTCCGGGATCCAACGGCTAGGATACAGCCACGATACCTTTCATAAATCAAATTTAACTGTAGAATATTCTGGAATGAACAGCTGGTAGAATGGCATTTTGAAGTGAATTAGATCTTATGGTAATAAAGTGGGTCAATAGTGTGAGTGCTACAATTTTATTTACTTCTTACTTAGACTTTGTCCGAGATAAAAAAAAACCTACAATTCTTGCAGCCTTAGTTGTTCCTTATTATATCAACTGTTTACCTATGAAATTCCAGAAAAAATCAGTTCAGCTATACCAAAGATAAGTCGGAAAAAACATCGAGACAGATGGACAAAAACTATTTTAACTATTTTTGTGTATGTTCCGTATTTATTAATACATGTATATGCATGTAGTAAGCTGACATACACATTGTTATTATTATAATTTAACGAATACCACATACTAATCGAATTATAAGACATTGACCCACATTAAAACCAAACTTGAAAGAAAATGACGTACTTCTTTTGCAGTGGCTGTAGCTATACTTATGACTCATCTGATATTATTGGTGTCCTTGGACATTGTTGATCTGTACCACCACAAGCCCCATACACAAGAAAAAAATTATAATTAAAGGTCCCAAGTAAAACATGTATGCTGTCATTTGTTAAAACTAAAAACAACAAAAATTACAAGACATGTTTTCTTTTATCTTTGTACATTAAATATTTTATTTATTTACCGAAAATTAAATAATAATTCGCATCCATATTTATCCCTTGGCGTTGTCGGCAGGAAAACAATATAATAAATTACAGAGAGCCTAACGAACAGCTTTCATATCGACGCTCGCTTTTCTTTCTTTCCGCTGTTGTGGGCCTTAGTGACAGCGGATTATTAAACCGTTAAAGATTTGATATTTTGAATTCAAATTGTTGGAAACTATGCAATAAATTATATCAGTTATATAAATTTAGCATACCATTAAAAATATAGATATTATTTAGATTTATTTTATTTAGATCAAGTGGAAGATATTTCTATGATTAATATAACAAATAATAGAACACGTGAAGGAAATGTGTGGTTTAAAGTCAATAAGAGTTTAACACTCCCTCTCACCCCATCTTGGGGGAGAGAAGACACCTACCCACTTAAAAAAATCATTAGTAACGATTTTGTCCAAAAACAATTGCTAGTGAGTGGGTTAAGTAACCATAAAGGACTTTAAGTACAATAAAATTATGTATGTTTAACAATTCGTAGTAAATTTCAAATACAGTTGACTGTTTTGTTTTTTTGGACATAGAAAATTCTTCTTCTGTGAAATGTTCAGTCCAAAAAGAAAAAAAAGTTCACTTTGAAAATGAAAAATATTTTTCGCCCCCTTTGAAGCCCAGTTCACTCTGGTACAGAGGCGAAATTCCTGGTATTCGTTTTAAATAATATTATTTTCCGTTAATTTTCATGGCGGTTGACATTTGCTTTGCGAAGACAGAAAAATAAATTCTAGTATAAAAAGTACTTTATTTTTATTGGAATGGAACAATTCTTCTTAAGCTGAAGATATTCAGATGAAGTTTAAAAAGGATGGATTGGGATTTAGAGTGATGAAAACATTACCCTTCTTTTTAAAGAACGCATACTGAGTTCCAAAACAATTTCTATTGGGCTCGTAATTCATTGTCCAATCACTGCTCTAAATTTGCTTTCCTATTTATCTTCATCCATATTCTTCCTTCTCCATTGCTACATATCAATAAATAGATGAAATTACTTTTAGGCTTTGAAAAGCAAAAACATTTTCAAAATGAAACCATTATCGGTACCTTGTCACTTGCACATATTACATATAGGACACAATCATCAATATATCAACATCCTTAAGGCTGGATTACCATGAACTAAAGCTTACCTGTTATATTAAAAGCCATTCAAATAAAAACGCATTCCAGTTACAAAAAAAAACACTAATAAAGACACAACAAAAAGAATTTTTACAACTCACTTTCTTAATTACAAAACATTAATAAAACACAAAAACAGTCTCAACCGAAGAGGTTCGCGCTTATATAATTTGCTTAACAAATATTAATCATGTTTAATTATCTCAGTATTTCATATCTGTACCCCTGTCGGCACAGGTTTTGGAGTAAAGCCAGGATGGCTTGGTAAACTTAATGGCTTTATTAAGACTTAAGTTGACGACACAATATCGTTCTCATTGTGGGGTCGGGTGTGCATTTGGACTCGTTTTGAGATGAACCTGTAGAGGTGAGGTATTATGTTTTAAATTAAATAAATATATGTTAATATAGGTGTATAGTGTTAATATCAAAGCCTATGCTACTGATCTGGATATGGTTTAGGTCTGTTCAGGTCGCGGTGATTCAGTTAAGGCTAGCTTCTCATTGATAAGATCCATATATATGTTAACGGAAATGTATGTAATCCGTCATTGTATACAATTCCTAGGAAATTTATATAATTCCTAAATTTGCTCGGAAATGTGTGAAATAAATTTTATAACACACATTTCCTAGTAAATCTATACATTTCCTAAATAGCTAACGGAAATGTATTACTTTAAAGATGTCCATTCTTATGCGTTTATACGGCGTATTACTGTTTAATTGACAGACTGATTAGGTACCAAATGATAGAGCTTTATAAGAAAATATAAGTAGTTTTTGTGCTAGATGGGCCTTAAAATTTAGTAAATAGTTTTGTTTTTGTAGCTTAGTTAGTAAGCCGGAAGAATATATTTTATTTTACGATGTGATTGTTACCTAATTGTTTCAACCGGAGTCTTAATAATAAATCTGTTTCTAAGTTTAACAACGTGTTTTATTAATTTTATTCATAGAAAGCATTGTTTTATACATTTCCTAATACGATATTGGAATTTTATACAATGTCTAGAAAATTTATACATTTCCCAGGATATGTGTGTATTAAATAATGTTTGGAACAATATTTTACACATTTCCTATATAGGTTCGGAATTGTATACATTTCCTAGTAATTGTATATAATTCCTAGGTTTCATACATTTCCGGTAACATATATATACATACACATTCATTCACAAACCATCATGGAAACATTTCATAAAGCGATTAACCACGATTGTTTAGAAAAATCTAATTCTTATATAATATTATATAAAATTAAATAATCAAAATATTAATTATATAAATAATATAGCAATTATATAAAAAATCATATATAATAAAATTAAATTAAATCTCTAATAACTAAGTACTATAAATATGTAGAATATGAAATCTAGATTTTTGTGATTGTAACGCCTATATTGTCAGTTGAAACTGTACACACTGAAACACGCGTTTTTGTTTCAAGTGTTAGCAAAGCACGCACTTCTTTTTTATTTAGGTAATTGATGGGCTTTGTGTCATCTATACCACAGACATCAAAACACCTCATGAGTACTCAATGAAAGATAGGTTTGTTTGAAGTGGAAGATATTCCAAGAAGTAACTTTTATATTCTCCTTCGTTTTGCGAAAAATCACCAGTTATTTTTCTCAGTACCTATCTTTATTTTCTAAGTAAAAATATTTCCTTTGTTCCAACAGGTCGAAGCAATGAGTACTGAGAAACGAGTGCGAGTCCGCGTCAAGCTGTACGATGACAAAACCGATATCTATAGTCAGGACATCGACATGTCGACAGGCGAAGGAGGATTCATAGTCCCGACTGTCATGGCGGACGCGCCGTACGTCAATTTGCAGGTGAGTGCAAACAACTTTAAACTTTATTATAACTTGTTTTACGGTCCACAAAGTTATATGACACGATTCATTTTTATGTGCATACAGTGGTGATAAAAGTTGACTTTTTAACAAGCTGTTTTTACTAGTTTGCGTTGTTCAAAATAAGTTTTACGTGAAAAGTTGAATTTAAAATGTTTTTCGCAGTAAATTTAATCTCGATAGTAGCTCTGAATAAGAAAAAAAAAGAAATTTTTCAACATATATAAGTAATAAAGAAACAAAATATACAGAAAATAGGAGAAGATCTTTCTCCATTTTAAAGGCCCGGCTACGTAATTCTTAATGTGTTGCAGGTGTCCATAGATGGCGCCAATAACTTACCATTAGGTAATTAGTCAGTTGGCTTCATATTACCAAATTGTAGCTTGCCAATTTAAAAAAAATATTAATTTTATATTTTTAAAAACTCTTTTCTATAAATTGTCTGTCATTGCAAGTGAAGATCACAACTAGAGAACAATCTACTATAGTTCGATGAACCAAACTGATGAACTAAATGGAAAATAATGGTAACTTTTTATCAATAAGTATAAGTATACCATTACGTGGGCGAACAGACCTTTAGAAACTTATTCCTCTAGTTTCTCACGAACACACATATTGCCAATTCTATACCACCTACATATTATATATACATACATACATGGATGTATATGTTATTCAATCGTTCTTGTTATGTATTCTATAGTTTTGTAAATAAACCACTTTATTTGCGTTAAGGTTTTAATTTTTCAATTTTATGAAGCAACCTATTTTTATCATTTTAAAGTAATTGCATGCATGTTCGTACACACTTTTTACCCGACTACGGCAAAGCAAAAGGAGGGTTATGATTTTAACAGGCTATGTATGTGTGTATGTATGTATGTATATATGTATGTTCATTTGTTCCCTCCTTCTAAACTACTTATCAGAATTCGACATATGACATATCATTAGAAATGTCTTTATTTATTGCTGGTCATAGGCTATATGATGTATCACAAAATCTAATGTGGCGTCCTCTAGTGGGCAAAAGAACCAGAGCAAAAAATAAAGTTATGATAATTTTACGTGTTTGGTATCATTTTAAAGTGCAGGTATGGTAATTAAATGTAACCTGTCACTACGCCTTTCAGTATTCTGAAAATCTTGATTTATACTTTTTCAGCATCGGTTTTTGTCGTAGTTGAGTTATAGTCGTTATACTTTTTATTATTACAAAAAAAAAAATATTTTACATCACCAGTTTTGCGTTCATTATAATATTTTTAAGAAAACAAGAATTTCCCATAAACTTTTCACCTTCAGCCATCTTGCAATTAATTATTTCAGTAAGTCAAGACAATTGTATTAGGTTCAATCGGATAGAATAAGTTAATTTGCGAATAGAAAGGTCAAAATATTATTTGTTCTAGAATATTCCGTGCGCAAATTTCTGTAGCGTGCAAAACTGTGCTGCGAATATAGAATGGGAAGGCTTAATTTTGATAAGCGTGACCACACAGTTTTCGGAAAGGAAAGCGACAAAAATATTTGGCATTATAACATTGCTATGTTTTTATTACCGTTGTCACCTTTTCATTTATTTTGCGATGAAGAGTAGTCTAGGTCATGGAACTAAACAGGTCTCTTTTGAAATCGTTTAAAACATTTTTTGACAAATCTTTTTATTTTGCCCAATAAGTTTTCCCTGTACTTGGATTTTCTTCTATGTTGTTGGAGCGTTTAAAAACGTACAATTTAACATACACATAATTTAGACAAAACACAATAATAAAATGATTATGGGTAACAATGAAACAATGAATTTATTTTTGTAAAAAGCCCATAATACAGCACTTTTACACGTCAACCTATGTGAAAAACTAGGTGAAGCCGGCCATTTCCCATTCAGAAGGAAAGTCAAGCTTTCACGAGTTTAAGGTTCCACGGGAGATACACGATGCCTGTGTTGTGTTTCGTCGTGCGAGTCAGGGTACCTACTCACTACATCTATGTTTGCCCATCACCATGGCTTATCCTCAATCCCCGATTTGCCTATCCCTAAAACGCACTATGCCAGGATCCTTAAGCGTAGCCGATTGCTTACCATCTGGTAAGTCGTCTGTCCTTACAGCCCTTTATTGTGAGGGGAAAGTCATCAAATGACTTCGCTCGCCCAGGGCGAGGCGAAAAGGAATGTCAGACACTTATTGACTAAAAACAGCAGTACCTTATTGTGTTGTCCTGCAATGCCCGTTTGCGATCCTATGTTTTAAAAAACTATTTCTATATATAGGCACCTAATTAAAAAAGGCGTTATAATTACGATAGATTTGATATATGTACATTGTTTGAAATGTAAATTTTATTCAAATTTGAGGCCTCAATAGACATTTACATTGCGTAATTTCTGAAACTATTTGCGTAGGTAATTTGTATCAATATTTTGCAACCGTACTCCGGAGTTTCACATTCCAATTTAGTACAATCATCTCATTAAATTGAACTAATTCTATATTGTATTAATGAACTGAAATTTGAACCATTTTCATTACGAATTCAATTCGATTATTATTGTTAGTGGTGATACTTAGGGTTTCAATTAAATATTGCAGGAAATATTTAAATTTATTACATCATAATAATATCATTATGACAAAAAAATCATTTTTTAAAAAGAAAATTCATCTTCCAATTTCAAAAAATCTAAATAGGTAGAATATACGACATAATTATAATGATGCATAAAATTATTTTAATTGTATACTGTCTATTACTCTCAATAATTATAATGCTTCTCGATATCTCGATGTGTGCATGTTTATATTTCGAACTGTGTATTAAATGTTCTCAATTTTCCTTTCTTTTTTTATTAATAGACCAAAGTATTTCAAATATCATTGAAGGGCATCCTATTCTCTTTGTGAAATATTCTTTTTAGATGCCAAGTTGTCACCGGACTCTTGCTCAACGTGGTAACTGTGGCAAATCCATGTTTGTAGAGGACACCTATCGTCTAGCACAATATAGGGATCCTTGATGAGGGATGCCAGACAATTATTTATTTATTGTATTAAATTGAAAAATCTGTACGGGTACACTGATTTCCTTAAACGTTTTGTTCATCAACACATATCATGTATACTCAATTTATGCACAAATTTGTACCGACACTACACAAATAATTCCTAATCCTTAAAACCGTGATAAACCCAAAACTCTAACCGCATAGATCTGTATACGTCTAAATTGGCCTTTCTCGCCTTCAACTGAAATTTACTTTAATCGCCTCATTAATTGGGCCTAGAAATTTGGAACTTCGATGCTCCAGAGAATAGTGGTACAAGGAATACGAATGGGCAGATTTTGGTCGAACTGTTTTCGTGTTAATCCTTCCAATCGGTGGAGTGATAGGCTGGCATTAGCAATTCAGATATGGTTGCGAAGTTTATGAGTCAGTCTGAGTACGCGGGTCGTTGTAACTGTTGTGTTGTGTTTCGATGCAAAATTCTGTGTAAAAGGGTGAAATTACAGTCATTTTTGTATACATTTTGTCTTTCTGCGTTGCACTTTTTGCTGTAGCTTCTTCGGTTCAAAATCCAATTAAATGGCATTTTAATGTAAGACTTTAAGTTCGAAACATATTTAAATAACTTCTAATACCTTTTCCTAGTTTATATTTATAGTTCCTTTTAATAACACATGTCAGACCATTCCATACTTAAACAGCGATCGATCGTGTTTTTTTTAAGGTTCAAATCACAGCCATTTAAAAACAGCGTCTGTATTATTTTTAGACATTTTAATATATCCTTCTTAATATATCCGAAACAACTCTTCCAATCTTACGTTTAATTAAAAAAACAAAATTAATCATCGCTACCTTGCTTTTTTCTTTTTAATTATAATTCCCTTTTTCGATCTTATCATTAAATTAGTTCTTTTAGCTAAATTAAAACGTTTCTCGGTCGGTGCCAAATTTCCCTGCTACTTACTATCATTATCCGAACGAAGTTTTCTTCCATTTTAGTTAAGAAGTTTACAGTATTAAATTCGCATTGTTAAGATATAAGCTGTTAGTTAGTCTTTTCTTATATAAAATATATATTCAATATATATATATATATATATAAAATATATATATATATATATATTGAAGACAAAATATAAAATTTCTTCTAATGAATGATAACACATTTTTAACTATTAACTCTATTTTTGAATCGTAACTAATGACACATACAATTTTTTCTAAATAACAATTTACTCACCAGAAGTTACTGAGATAAGCTCTACTAGTTTCAAGTCCCGACGGGACTCTAATTCATGCGTACGCTGTTTTTTTTTTAAATTACCACTTCTGTTCTGAAATGTACAGTCAACAAAAAAGTCAATGTTAACATTATTACACGACATTTACATATCTATCAATCCTGACCATTATGCTATTTTGCTATAGGTATTCGGTATTGCTTTGATTTAAATTCTTTTTGTCTGTCATCAGTCAATTTAAATAGAACATTTACTAAAAACAAACTCTTTTTTCAAATTTGAAATTAGTTCTTATTTCAAATTCAATAAAACAACGTTCGTAGTGATGATGATCAAAATTGCACTATGAAAATACCTTCACAATTTTCCGGACACTCAATTCTCATTTTAGATATGGATCTCTAAAAATCAATCTCGTCGACCGAGGAAAGCAATTACAAGGGAAATAGGAATGAATATGATGCTGTCATCAGGATATCAGAACACGTACAGAATTGGCAATTTGACTGGAGTGCTTTTAGGCTTGATAACTATCTTATGAATTATTATACGAACCAACCTAATGTGACCACTTGACACACGGTTGGCAAGTTTGAAGGATTTCAATGCTGTTGAGAATGTGAAACAGTTTTTTGTTGTAGATTAAGTGTTTCATTATAAAATTATTGCCAATTTTAGTTTGGGAGAGCCATGCTCCTATGAATGGGTCGAAAAAATGACCGGACTGATACCTCGGCCTCACAAAATATCGGTGTGAAACAACCGGCATTGTGTTTCGTCGTGTGAGTGAGGTTAACGGGGGCCTTCACCTCCCCTTATCCCTAAATCTCCAAAACCCTTATCACCAAAAGGTTGACAACGCACTCGTATTATATTTTTCAATAAATTTGGTATGTCTCAAGATAGTTAGTATTCAAAAAAATATTTTATTATAGTTTTATTTTAGAAAGTATCTGTGAAAATGTATGTTTATCGCACCCAATAACACAGGATGGAATTTTAGTGTAGTAGTAGTAACAGTAAAAAAAGCATTGAAAGTTAAAATGTATATTCACAAATATAATTAACAAAAAACAATATCACTTCATAACAACACGAA